AAGTGGCAATATTATTATTATAACTTTAAAAAATTATTAAGCATAACAAATTTTTAAAAATCAAGTCTATACATCATAAAGACATAATAGTTATAAAACACATTAAGTTTTACAAATGAAAACTTTTGGAAAAAATGGAAGCAATTCACAAAACTCATTCAATTATATTGAAAGATTTTAATATACGATTAGTCTCAAGCTTTAAAAAACAGGAAAGAAAATATGTATCCAGATGTGAATGGTATAATTAATTGGTTTGCTTTGGTAAATATATATTTAATATAGTCTTTTATTATCAATGAACATACTTTCTTTTCAAAACCTGAACTTAATATTCATAAATCAATTTCTTTGGTTTATGTCCTCAATAAATTTCCAAAAGGACAAATTGAATAGGCTACATTCCCTAATTATAAATGTGATTAATCTGAAAAATAAAAGACAAATTTAAATTAAAATATCCAGAGAAATTTTAAATCATTTTCTTTTCAGAGCAAATAGGAATTTTGTATCAAATAGAAAATCCAGAATGTATTTGTAAACAATTGAGGAAACATCATTGGTATGGCAGCATGGCAAACCTTTTAATTATATACAAATTTTTACATAAAGAGATATTAACGTTTTCATTACTAAGCTAGAGCATATCGTTATAAACTTACAAATCAAGAATTTAGGTAAAGATTTTTTTAAACATGCCTATAGAAAGCAGAAGGAAAGTAAGAAATAAATATTAATTAAAAATAAATAAATATTAATTAGGTAGCAGAGAAACAGAATCCAAAAGCCATTTCTTTGAGAATTCAATAAAGTAAATCACTGTCAAGCAAAATTCACATAAAAGAAAAACCCAAGTATAAAACTAGGATGAGAAAAGAATATAATCTAAGCTTACTTGCTCTAATTTTACAAAATTAAAAAATCTTTAAAGAATTTGGAAGATTTTTCTAGAAAAAAAACACAAATTTTCAAAGTTGAATCAGTAAGCAGATATTTTTTAAAAAGCTACAATAATCAAACAAAAACTTTTCAAAGTATTATTTCTTTAGAAGGCTAAAAACATTCTTTCAAGTGTAAAAGGAACAGATACTTCCTATGCTATAAAATCTGTTCCAGAACTTTAAAAACAAAATAGCTTTCTAGTTAATCTTATAAAACTGCATAAGCCTGATACCAGAAGCTGACATATAAGATAGGAAAAAATTTATAAAGGAGGAGGATAAAATTGTGTTTTCCTAACACACTGCATTGAAAATTACCTAGGTCCAAGACTTGTTAATAAAAAGTGGATTTAATGCCAAATAAGTCTGCCAAATAAAGATACACATCCTCTTGAAGAGATCAGCAATACACATCATCACATTAAAGATTCCGCACTTGTGTGAGACTTATCATTAACTCAGCATATTCTAAAATTATTCAAACATAAACACCTGTTTACATTGTACTTAATATTTAAATGTGTTAATATACCTCTAATGCTTGATTCATAGTAGGTCCTCAATATATGTTTTTATTCCTTTTTCTTTTTTCCTAATTATGAGATTTTGTGGCTTCACCAGTAGATGGCATCGATCTTAATCATAATCATTCAGGCTTTTCCTGATGGAATGTTCACAGAGCTGATGAAACATGTTATCATTCTCAACATTGTAAAAGTAAAGGTACAGGGAACAGAAAGGAGATGAGAGTTTGGAGACATCAAGGGAAGGGAGGAAGCTCTAGGGTCTTCATTTTGCAAAAGGTGGGGAAACATAATATGGTTTGTGTTTATTGAATGAGAAATGGAGGTATTGAGGTGACATTTGAGGAACTCAGAATAGTGACCCCACTATGTACTAATTACAGGGGATAAGAGGCATTACTCCTAATCTATCAGAGTACACAGTCAATAGACCCTGTCCAAAGCTGATAAGTCAAGAAGTGGTATTTGCATATTATTATTTAAAGATGTGGAAGTGACCATCAGAAAAACCAACAACCCAAACTTGCAAGAAGTAATTGTCTTTGAGGAACAGAAGTGAAGTTGGGGTGCAGGACTGTTACTTTTCATTTTAAATCATTCTGCATCATTTGATTTTCTTTAACCATGTGCATATTTTGGTATGTTAAAACTTTTCCAACATAGATATCCAAAATTATTTTTAGCAAAATTAGTGGGAGATAACAATTAGGGTATAGCTTAATACAGGCATAATGTGGCTGTCCAAATCTGATAAAACTCAATGTAAATCTTGGCTCAACCAATTACTGAGACTTGTTAGCTTCGAATAAGTCACTAAAATTCTCTAAATTTCAGTTTCTTCCTCTAAAAATATCAGTAATTATACCTAACACATAAAGTTATTTTGATATTTGAAATTGAGATAATGTGTCTAAAGCACTTAGCACACATATGGAGGGTGCTTAATATTGTCACACTTACTAGTTGTTATAAAATTATTAAAAATGATTATTGTTCTCAAGGATATGTTATAGTCACTGTATCCTATCAATCTCCCTTTATGTATGACTGTGTAAATCTGTAGTATGTAAGTGGAGATTTCTTAAATGCTGATGGTCACAAAAGTTCTTCTAGTTGTTTTTCAGAATTTTAGAGCGCTTGTTTTTATTACCTGCTTCAGAGGCATCATGATGTAATGGAAGAAACCAACATTAGTTTGCCCACCTCCACCTTGGCTAAGTCATTTAATCCAATTTCAGTCACTCCATTTGTAAGATGAGATTGCTGGAGATTTACCTGTCTGAAACTTAGAGCGAATCAGATGCTCATTTGAGGTGCTGGTCACTCTAGAGGCCATGGCTGTGGAACAAGAGAAGAAAGTGGCCCATTGAATGTGGGGCAATTGGGGGCTCCCACATGTCGGTCAAGGTCTTACCTCTAAAGTCTGGCCCTGGGGCTGAGGGAATTTTTTGACCTTTGAAATGAAGTTTGGTTAGAAAAAAAAATTATTCATGTGCTTTCTGAGGCATAAAAAGCCGCTTACTTCTGTCAGATGAATTTACTCATCCAAAATATCAAGGTTTCCCTTAGTAAATTCAAATCCCCACTATATGATACCCTCAATATGCCATATTACTGAGTTTAGAATATATAATTCCACTGTCAAATTAATGGTGATGCATAAAAAAAGCTTCCTTTTCACTGTTATCCAGTACTTTTACAAAAAAAGATCAAATTCCATGCCAATTTTTATTTATCTTTCAAGTTACTCAAGAGTAAATTGGATAGGATTCTGTTTAGAAATTTACTTGCAAAAAAGTTTTTTCAGGATATTGCTACAGAAAGCTTTGAAAAATAAAGAGGATGTGGGAGATAGGATGAGGACCTTGAATTTTAATTTCATCTCTACAAAGAAAATTCTTGACAAGTGTAGTCACTCACACACTTGGTAAGTATTTGTTGTGGGTAAGACTGATACTGAGATGACAAAAAGAATTCCTGCTCTCAAGGTAACACAACAGCAGCAGGTCTGATGTAGGCCTGCTGGAAACAAAACACGTTGATTTTCATTTTCAAAAATAGTACAATATGAGATAATCTTGCATCACTAATTCAAATAAAATGACAAAATTAATCTACATTTAAAGGAAATGTCTTCTGCTCTCCATTCCCAAACTTTCCATCTCCAGTTTTTTCCATTCATATTTACAGGATTGGTATATAATGGAAAAATGAAAAGACAGTAAACTATTTTGTTTGCACTCTTTGAGCCTTCCACCGATGAAGACTATTGCATTTTTGAGCTGGACCTTCTTGTTGGACTTAGGTTCCTAGACACTCCTCAAACAAACTTCTTGTTGGGAGTGTCCCGATTGCGTGCTCTGTTTGTTGTAAAGGCTGCTAAGAATTGTGGTACAATTTCAAGACTCCACTGGGGTGGTCTCTACCTTAAGTCTGCTTTTCTTAGGAGGCCCAAGTTCCTCTTACCCAGCTGTTGGAGGAAGAAAAATATAGTAGATAATAGAGCTGACGATGGAGGACTACTGAACCTATTATATCGCCTCAGAGGAGCTCCAGGAAGCCAGCAGAGAAGAAATGCCCAGAAACAAAGAGCTATCTGGCAGGCTGTGGCAGTGTCAGCCCCCTGCCCAGAAGCCCTTCGACCCTGTGAAGAGTGCCAGATAGAGCACCCAAGAACCATACCATCACTCAACCCATCACCTCCTCGTTCCTGTTACAACACCTAAGCTTACTGTAGACTTTCAGAAATTCAACTTTCAAATGCATTTTAGGATCACATCATGTGCATATGTCTAGAGCAGCTTACATACATTAAAATATGGGCAGTATTGTATAAACAGTATTTTTTAATCCACTGAATTTATAGAAGGACAACGACGCATGTTAATAATAATTTTATTACTTTACCACCATGGTCACTTCAAGTGTCACACACAATGTACATATAATGGATGGTAGAAGAGCTAATAATCCAAAATTTGAATCCTCCAAGATCATTTGCCACTATACATTTCTGTATCAATTATTATAGTCCAAAAGAAAGGAAGAGTGTAAAATGAAATCTTTCTCTACATATTCTGGCTCTATCCCAACATCTCAATTAAGGTCATATTTGAAGGAGGCCAAGATATAATTTAATTTTTTAACAGGACTCTCTTCCCCTTGACAAGTATTTTAGTTTAGAAATTACTTTATATATAGCCATTAGACTATTAGAACAATTGTTCTAGGAATATAGCTAATATATCAACGGGCACAAGGCAAAATTAAGCAGAATGAGTAAATAATATAAGGAATTTGTATAAATAATATAAGGAAGATTTAAAAGGTTTGGATTAACTTTATTATCCACATTTTCTGTAATATGTTTAATTATATTTGTTACTAGGTACATTATCTAATACCTAGGGCCAAAAACAAAGACTTTTTTTTTGAAAGGAGGAAAAAAAGACACATTTAAAACCCCTTTGATTAAAATCTATTTGTTTGCAGAATTTCCAGAAATTAGAAAACATGGCTTCAAGTCATCATTTTTCTAAAGCTGTGTTTCCTTGCCTGGCCAGTAGTTGGGTTGTAGCAAATGATCACTTGTAGTACAATTTTCCTTCCTGATTCTTGTAGACACCATTGTTCCTTCTGTCTTGGTTCTGAAGCTTCTATGTTTTGAAACACAATTTTTCTTTAAAGTGAAAAGTACTGCAATACTTAGGAAAATGGACACTGTGCCCAGCATCACAGTTAGTCCCAGATATATGTGTCTAAAAGAAGAGAGAAACTCAGTCATAATTATTGCAACTATCCAACTTTAAAATGGGAAAGGAAGGTAATAGTATCATTCCATAAATAGCAATACCAAGAAAATCAATCTGTCAATGAAACCATCATGAGGATGTTTTTTCTTAAGATGCAAATTCAGTGGCTATAAAAGACCTTTCTATGAACATCTGGTAGACTATTGAAGGCAGTATGCTAATATAAAGCGACCTCTTAGTGGTGCCATAATTTTTAGTTACTACTAATTACATAATCAGTTCCATCCTCTCTGTAAATTATTCCCTTAGACCAGATGACCATATGCCTATTTGCCCAGAACAGTCCTAGCTTATGCTGGTGTTGTCCCAGTATACTTTTTAATAGTGCCCCTTTTCACTCTCTAAAGTGTCCATGTTGAATGATAAATTATGTGGTTACCCTATCCTTGAAACTTGCCCAAATGCACTTCTACAAAAAAACTGCAAGAAGCAATGTTAAGGGAGATTCAGAGCTCTTAGTAGAGCAGAATGAATTAAGAATTAACCAAAGGTTTAAATCACTTTCTTAATGAGAAGCCTCTAGTTCTTCATTCTATCATAAAACAGGAAGGTATGGAAGGACAGGTTGAATGATTTATTCTGGTCACCTTGTACACACACTCAGTCTCTGATTGAAATACATTGTCTTTACATTAAAGTAAATGCCGCCTTAGCAAATGTGAGCAAAGCACAAATTCTACTCATAGGTCAAGTCCCTTTCAAAGACCAAAATAAATTTCTCACATAACATCAAAGCCTATTACATCAAACAAACTTATTTGAGATGGTTGGCTCAATTCACATCCAACTTCCAACTTACACAGTTCAGTACCAAGCTTATTCCTCCAGAAAATGCTCAGATTGTAAAAAAAAAAAAAAAAAAATCCCTCCTGCTTTTAAGCCATTGAAGCATTGCTTTAAGCAATAAGGGGACTAAATGTTTGATGAACTGAACTGAATGATGCCATAGTGAAAAAGCCATGCCCTTCAGCTCCATACACACTCATACACACAGAAAAAGCCTTTTACTTTTATGCATCTCAAGTACTGGAATAATTGAACATCAGTTTGGCAATAAAAGCTGGACAGATTTAGAGCCAAATCCAATCCTTGCCCAGGGGGATTATATCTGACGTAAATGGGACAGTTTGGCTCAGTTTGAAAAAGAATAGAATTAAACCCAAAATGTGACCTAAATTTAAATGCTTTGGAGCTTCAGAGAATTACCCACTTGTGTGCATAAACTTGCAAAATTCTACTGTATTTTGGAATCTTTTGTGAATTTTATTTAAGATTAGGGAAAAACTGAAAGATCTAGCCAAATAAATAATAATAAAATTATTCTATAAAATAGAACTCATTTCTTGGTTAGATGATCCTTTTGCAGTGAAACTCCATGAGGAATGATTACTGCCCATTTCATTGTGCAAACCTGTAACGTTGTAGCAGGGAGACGCAGGAAGGAGTTTGATATGGTACCTGAAAGCATTTGAATCATATAATCTGCAGGAGCCTCTATGTCCACATCTTTTAAATCCCCATTTGAGGCATGAAGTGTCAATCAAAATTCCAAAATACACGGGAGCTGGGATTCCTGCTGTGAGAAAAACAAACAATTGCTGCTAAAAATATATATACCCATCTTTTTGATTATCCTATAATGAATGAGTCTCTGGAACCACCTACTTTCAAACTAAAAACAAACTGCTTTGGGGAAAATAGGTACCTGTAGAAGACCAGAATATGCTACCTCATTGTATTTCTCTGGCATAAACATTATTTTGAGAAACCGAAGGCACAGGAAAAGCTGTGAAGACAGAGCCTAAGTTTCCTTTTTGTAAGGGAAACTTAGATTTATAACAGAGATCTCCATTTGTAAGGGTGTCTGCCTCTCTATACCAAGAAGAGAAGGATTCCTAATCCCAAAAGGATTTTATCAAAGGAGAAGGCACCCACCTAAATCTCCATAACAAATCTAACCCTTATTTACCTTACTTTTCCTGGTCACCTTCCCATTACTTAAGAATGGGTTTTACTTATTTTACGCTGTTATCACTTTTTTATTGTGCTGAAAATACTGACTTCTAATGATATTAACATAATCTCTTCTTTGCTTTATTTTAAAATACGTAATAGTTTCAACATAACTATACCAATGTTAGTATTAAAGATAAGACTACACAATGCAGTGAAGTTATGTGGCTTTGGTAATGATTCTGCCCTTTTTTTAAATCTGTTTTTCTTTGTGGTCATGCCTCTTAAATAGCCAATTTCAGTTTGTTTCAAGAATGTCTCACTTTCTTTTCATTGTTTTTTTTTAAGATTTTATTTATTTATTTGACAGAGAGAGGGAATACAAGCAGGGAGACTGGGAGAGGGAGAAGCAGAACTCCTGCTGAGCAGGGCCCCTAGGATCATGACCCCAGCCGAAGGCAGATACTTAACTGAGCCACCCAGGTGCCCCCATATTGTTTTTTAATTACATAAAAACTTTGGATGATTTCAGTTTTTTAAAAATATTTATTTATTTATTTATTTATTTATTTATTTATTTATTTATTAGAGAGAGAGAGAGAGAGAGAGAGAGCACTCCTGAGCAGGGGTGGGGTGGAGGGGAGACAGAGAGAGAGAGGAAGAGAATCTTAAGCACACTCTCCACTGAGTGCAGAGTCTGACACAGGGCTCAATCCCAGGACCCTGAAATCAAAACCTGAAAAAATTTTGCATGATTTCAAATTAAAAATTAAATCAGAGTTACATTTACAAACTCTACTTTCCATTCTGTCTTCTCTTACTTTTTTCCTTCCTTCCCTTATATGCAACCACCACCACCACCACCACCCTCACCACCACCACTACCATCATCATCATCATCATGTTTTTAGTTTATACTTCCATTGTTTCTTTTTTAAAATGTTAGCAAATACCTTTGCATACATGTATAATATTTCTACCTTTCCATACTTCTTACACCAAATGCATCATAGTATGAACATCATTCTACATTTTACTTCACTTTACTTAAGGGTATAGCCTGGAGATCCCTTGGTAATATAGACTACTGTGTCCCTCCAAAATTCATATGCTGAAGCCCTAGCCCTAATATAATTGCACTTGGAGATAGAGTTATTAAGGAGATAAAGGTTAAGTGAAGTCATAAAGGACTTAATTTGCTAGCACTGGTGTCCTAATCAGAAGAGGAAAAGATACCAGAACTCCATCTCTCTCCGTATGTACACAGGGGAAAACTTTGTGAGGACACAGTGAGAGGGCAGCTGTCTACAAACCAGGAAAAATGGTCTCAGGGATTTCACCAGATACCAGGCCTGTTGGTACCTTGATCTTGGACTTCCCAGCCTTCAGAAATGTGAGAAAATAAATTTCTGATGTTTAAGTTCTTCAGTCTGTGATATTTTGTTATGGCAGCCAGAGCTGACTAATAAACTTGTGAACATTAGAGGGAGATTTTTCCCCATTCATCCTTACAGCTGCATAGGAATCCATTATGTGGGTTCACTATAGTTTATTCAAATATGTCATATTGATGGACAACTAGACCGTTTATAGTTTGCTATTATACATAATGCCACAATAATTAGACATCCATAAAATTTTACTTATTTCATAGTTTTGCTAGCAAATTTTTGGTATCAATTTTTAGAAGTGAGATTGCTAGGTCAAAAAATAAATCTAATCATAGTTTTGTTAGTTACTGCCACATAACCCTCCACTGAGGGCTGAGACCATGGAGAAATTTTCTCAACAGCAGTGTGTAAGCATATCTATTTTTCCATACATTGCAAACAACATTTGATAATTTGCAAATCTGATAAGCAAAAAAATTTTATCAGTATAATTTTAATTTGTACTCTCCTTATTATGAGAGAGTTTGACCATCTTTTCATATATTAAGAGGCATTTACATTTTTTTCCATGAGATGGCTGTTCATACCTGTTACCCATTTTTCCATTTGGGTGTTGGTCTTTTTGTTCTCAATACTTAGGGACTCTCTTTATAATAGGGATATTATAAATAGTCTTTGCATAAATTGCAAAAAATAGTTGTTCCCAGTTTATCATTTGCCTTCTGACTTTGCTTATGATATTTTTGCCATTTTCAAGTACATTTTTAGTTTTATGGAATCAATTTTATGAATCATTTCTTTTTTAAAACTTCATTTTCTTATTTTTTAAATAGTCTCCATGCCCAACATGGGGCTTGAACTCACAACCTGGAGGTCAAGAGTCATATGTTCTACTGACTGAACCAGCCATGGGCCCCAAAGAAACATTTCTTTTACTTGAAATCTTTTTCCAGTGTAGGTTATATCTTTATCTCCAAAAGGAGGTAGATATAGGAACCAATTCCAGCCAGAGATATACTTCAGGCTCAATAATCTGACATTTTTCTAAGTAATCTCTGTTTTCACATTGTAGAATTAGAGCCAGCCATAATGGGATAAACTTCCATATTTGCTGCTCCCCCAATTTCATCAGGATTATACTGTATCTTCGTATATACCCATTTTATATCAAGATCTATTTATTTTCAGATTTTTTAAAGATCTGAGTTTGTTTTTCTCCCTGGCAGTTCTTTTCTGTTAAACTACAGAGGAACATTTGTGATTGTTTTGCTTTATTCCTTAGAATATAAACTTTGTAGAAACAAAAAACTTATCTGACCATTAACTCTATTTTCTATGGGTTCTAACTGATGCATATTGAAAAATCTATTAGAAAAAAAACATTCCAATTACATTTAAAAAAATTGTCAACTCAAAGCCATACTCTTTTGATTGTATGAATGAACTGATCTTTCTACCAAATGATATATCCCAGCATTGAGAGTAGCTCAAAAGAATTCCTTCCATTTTAACAACTGAAGAAATTATATTAAGGCTTCAGCCTTTCTTACTGATTCATTTCTTGCTTTCCTCTCAGAGGGCTCTTTCATAACAAGAATAAACTTTTTGACAATAGACCAGTGCTGGAAGAGACAAGATTGTTAGACAAAAAACGTCACATTCTCACAAAATCACTTCATTATATCACAGGCACAGCATTGGCTCTCAATTTCTAGAACAAAGGGAGAAGTTGAGAGTGGGAGGGAGGGAATAAAGAAATGAAGGGAGGAAGAAAATAAATAGGGACCTAACCACTTATATTATTTAGTTATGCATGATAATTCTGTAAAAATACTTAGAAAAGTATTCAAAATACATTTGTCATGGCTACCATAATTAAAACATAGATTATACTTACCAAGAACTCTTATTGCTAAGGTGTAGATACCCAGGGCAAAAGACTTAAATTGTGGCTTAATGCACCTAAAAACAACAAAAGCACTATAAAGAAAATATAGTCCATTAAAGCAAATAGTAATGTTAGTGATAATCTGCTTATCACATATGAAATGTTAGGATTCAAGTAGCATTTATGGAAAACCCATAGTGTCCTAGCATAGGGAGGGCAAATTATGTAAATCCATGTGCTATTAGATGCAATGCCTCAAAGAGTTTATAGTTAATATTTCCAAAATGTAAATCACCTCTACATGATATATTCAGATGGTATTGGATAAAGTAAAATTTTAAGTTTAATCGGCAAAACAACAAAGATTAACAGAAAAAAAAATTCTAAGAAATTTGAGGCAACAGTAAGGGATCAATAAACTATAACTGAATTTTGTGGCTCTTGGTCTAAAAACACAGGACCATGTTGATCCAAGTTGATACAATCATAATTGCTGTGGCATGCTAAGTGTTTCTGCTCAATAGTGGGGACCTGAATCTAGCAGCCAAGTGCAAGAATACCTAAAATAACAAGGGCATCCTTAATATGACTGTATAGCTTTAACTAATTGGCCTGTCAATTTTAATGGTAATAATCATGATGATATTATAATAACTATTGAGTGTTAACCATGGTACTAATTTCTCCATGTGTATAATATCATTTAATCTCTACTTTAAAAGAGGCAAAAATCATAACTTTTCTCCTTCCATCTAAGGACATCTCCTTCTGACATCAAAACACAGCATGGTTCATTTGAAGGGCTGGTGGTGAAGAGAATTCTTCATCTAGGACCCTGATTAAGCACTTGGCCCAGGTGACTCCTTGACCCAGTATAAGATGTAGAAGAAATAGACACCCATGAAGAACAATCCTGATTTGAGAACTCTGGTGCAATGCTCTCCGTATCATGCTCCCATTTGAAAACATAATATCTCATGTTTTCCTTAAGCCCTTTTGTGGATGTTAGGTCCTATTTTCTGTTTATTTTTCCTAATCATTTTCCATAATATCCTATGGGAAACCATAGATGCATACAATACTTTTGAATAGTTTCATTTTAGAATAATGTGATATTCATCCTTCAATATATGAATTAATTTAAAAATCACCTAATCATCTCATAAAAGATTAGTTTCTGATAAAATCTGACTTTTTAGGTTTAATAATTTTGCTAAAATTTGTAATATTTTTAGATTATTTTATCAATTGTATAATAGTATTATTTGCATGGCTAATCCCATTAGGAAGAAAATTTTATCACTGACAATACTAGTTACAAACTACTATTTTAGAATTTATATACTTTTTAATAGAAATCTATGATAGGAAAGTCAATAAAAAGTGTTCAAACATAAATTATATTACAATAGAAGAGAAGCCTACAGGGAAGTTGAATTAAGATATAAGCACAAGAAGAAAAAAATATGTAACATATTTACTGTAAAAGATTTTTTGTGTAATTTTAAATTAGGTGATATTGGTTATCTAATCTGTTTCCTAGATTCTCACTGATTAATTTAAAAGAGTGATCTACATTTAAAATTATTATATTTTTAAGTGTAAATATTTATAATATACCAGAAATCAATGCTTACTTACTATTAAACTTAAGAAAATTTTAGATGTCCACTTAACAATATGCAAAAGGGATACACAGTTTTAAAAATTCTTTTAGAGTTTTATAAGCAAAAACACTTGGAACCATTAACATATATTCATGGATTAGAGAACTCAATTGATTCAAAGTTATGAACAACCCCCCCACACACCCATACATATAGATAATTCTAGTCAGAACAAGAAAAATAACCTACATATTAAAGTAATATATGTGAAGCATGGTGATATTAGATGAGTCTTTAAGCTATCTTAAAATTTTATCACTCATAATTCAGTGAAACCATGCTTAATCTAAAACACAATTAGCCTAGGGGCACCTGGCTGGCTCAGTTGGTAGAGCATGTGACTCTTGATCTCAGGATTGTAAGTTTGAGCCCCACGTTGGGTGTAGAGATTACTTAAAATTAAAATCTTAAAAAATAATAAAAAACACATTTAGTCTACACTGGGTAGTATTATCACCATAATTAGAAATAGCATATTGTATTTTTTGAGTGGCTATAGTGATATAGGCACTATAGTGATACAGGCTCTCTAGACCAATGATTTACAAAAAATTTTTAACTAGAAAAACTTCTATTCAACCATATTTTTGCATAAAAACCCAAAATGGGAAGAGTATAAAAGTAGAACAAGGATATGGGTCAAGTTCCCTGAGAGAGCTATAAGGAATCACAATTCTATAGAACAGAATTTGAAATCAATGTTCTAAATGATTATAATACGTCTTGTATTAAAACTGGGGCAGGGAGAATCAGTGTTCACCTCAGAAGCAGTATGTATCCAGGTATGCCACCTAGAGATAAAGTATAGGATGTGATGACTGAAATGACAAGGAAATACAGAAACATTTTGGGACATCCATTATCTTTTTGACACCTGCCCACCATGCCTGAGGAATTTCCTGACTTTGAGGCTGCAATCCCCACACAGGTACAGTTATAAAATATCTGTAACACAATAGAAAAAATTCCAATTATTGAGGTAACATTTAAATACAACTGAAAATACGTATTTGTTTAAATAGACTTTACAATATAGTATACGTGCATCATATAAACAATAAGGTAAATATTCTTTTATTTGTCTGTGTTAAGGTATAGTGAGCAAAGTGAAATCTATACAGATAACATTTTTTTTTTATCCAAACAGCAGATGGTCAAACTACTGACCCTACCAAACAATCTCCCAGTAAATCCTAGTAAATCCAAACATAGCTTATCTCCTTCTCTGCCATTTCCAAGTTTAAGCCACCATTATTTCTTGCCTTGGTTATTGCTGTCATCTCTTTATGCTCAACTTATTTCCACTTTTATCCAGCTATCATTTGTTACCTACCCACAGAGTAACCAAAGTGAGCCTTTAAAAATGGCAGTCACTATTCTCAGCCTTCCAATAGCTTCTTATTATGCTTATATAAAATCCAAAATCCTTACAGAGGCTTACACACTATGATGGAACTACTGGATCCCCCTCTGATCTCATGGCTCAATCATCTTCCCCCTCTCCCTCTGCTTCAGTGGCACATGTGGGTTTCCACTGTGCCCTTGCCAACCCTCAAACATGGTAAGTTTACCCATGCCTTATAGCCTAGCTGTTTTCTCTGCTGTGTAGCTCTTCTAGATAGCTGCAAGGCTGGTGCACACACCTCAGGTCTCTGTTCAGTTTGTTAAAGAGGGCTTCCATGATGATCCATTCAAAAAAATACCCATTTCTCCATCCTTTATTCTAACTTACCTTTTCCTTACAGTGCTTATCATTACCCATTAGAGTATTATATAATCATTTGTTTTTAAACTATATATCCCCACTAGAATGAAACCTCTGGCAGAAACTGTCTGCTTTCTCATCATTGTACACGTAGAGCCTAAGTGGGTCCTCTTTTTAGGCACTCAATAAAAATTTGTTAAATAAATGGGCATAATTTGAGGATACGACTTTTTAATGGTAACTAGGAAAAAAATCCTGAATAATAAACCTCAACTAAATCTTGGACAGAGAGGCAAATTTTATAATCCCTCATTAGTTTATTTTTGTAAATATCACAAAAGAGTTTGTGAATTTTTAGTTAAACAGTGAAATGAAGCTGGCATTTCCTTTCCAAGAAGCAATGTTGATTTTTTTTTTTTTTTTTAGTGAATGTCAGGTAAAAAGCTTTTGAACCTTGACCTTGCCTCTTACTAGATACATGAGTTTAGGCACAACAGTGCCTCATTTCTCACATGAGGAAAATAAATAAAGTAATACCCAATCACTTGAAGACAATGATATTTAAATCCCCCCCCCCCTTTTTTTCAAGCACCTCTCTTAGTTCCTGGCATGAATGCCTTCGATAAGTGAAGTTCTAGGTAAGGAAAACTTTCAAGCAGTTTGGACAAAAGAGTAGAGGCTGAAAGAAAAGGAAGAAGGAGGAGGAGCAGGGGGAAAGGGAGGGAAAAGGGACGGGAAAGGGAGGGAAGGAGAGGGGAGGGGAGGGAAAGGGAGGGGAGGGAAGGGAAGGGGGAAAGAAAGAGAGAAAGGAAAGAAAAGAAAGAAAGAAAGAAAAGAAAAGAAAAAAGAAAGAAAGAAAGAAAGAAAGAAAGAAAGAAAGAAAGAAAGAAAGAAGAAAGAAAGAAAGAAAGAAGAAAGAAAGAAAGAAAGAAAAAGAAAGAAAGGAAGGAAGGAAGGAAGGAAGGAAGGAAAGAAGGAAAGAAAGAAAGAAAGAAAGAAAGAAAGAAAGAAAGAAAGAAAGAAAGAAAAAAGAAAGAAAGAAGGAAAAAAGGAAAGAAAGAAAGAAAGAAAAGAAAGAAAGAAAGAAAGAAAAGAAGAAAGAAAGAAAAAAAGAAAGAAAGAAGGAAAAAAGGAAAGAAAGAAAAAAGAAAGAAAGAAAGAAAAAGAAAGAAAAGAAGAGAAAAAAAAGAAAAGAAAGAAAAGAAAAGAAAAGAAAAGAAAAAAAAAGAAAAAAGAAAAGAGGGAGGGATGGGGAGGGAAAGGGGAACTGGAGGTCAAAAACTCAGTTGGGTGGGCAGTCCTGTTCACCATTGCTGGAGGCCAATCCTTTCTACTCTGAATAAAATGTCAAAGTAACAATAAACAGAGAGAAAATCAACTTGTTACTCTACATCTACAGAAGTCTTTGCCTAAGCATTCTTATCTAGTTGATAAGAATATGTAAATAGATGTGTAGGTTAATTTTCAGCCCTCTAGGACTGTCAAATACAGACAGATTTCATCAGCACAAGTAGACAGCAGTCTGACCACTAGCCACAAACACAGAATACAAGAGTCTATGTTTGGTGCAGAAATGTAAAGGTGTGACTGGAGAAATGAGTCTAATGATTTAAGTACATAATATCTTCCACAACTGATTTCTTACCTTTATTTCCAACCTCATCTCCGTCATCCACCCTACAGAACTCCTTCATTCCAGCCACCTACTCTTTTCATTACTGCACACACAGGCTTGATTTCTCAGGCAGAGTGTCTGGAACTATCAATCTCCTCAAAATCAACTTCATGATCCCTGGGTCTAAACCTCTTGGGCTAGACTTTCTAACACTGGCCTCTATTTGTCCTGTCCCTAAAACCTCCCAGTACCACTGGCCTTGGGGTCAGAAGAAATGGATCCCAATGCAGATCTTATCATATCATCTTATGACTGAGACTGTCTCATTTGAGGCTAATTTTCCTCACAAGCAAAATGAGAGAACTTCACTACATCTTTGCAAGTCTCTTCCAGCATGTTTCACGATCCTAATTCTTACCCTAATTGTTTCAACAACTCTAGTCCACTAGCAATGGCGTTTCCTATCTCCACAAAAAAGAACAAGGGTAGAGTGAGAGCCAGAGCTGCTACCAGTGTGGTCTGCTTCCGGGTTGGCCCCTGAGCTCCCAGAGAGCTGTGCAGTTAGTTACGTGGTAGAGAAGACACCACAGGCACACACATTAGGGATTCCTTACAAGAGTTTTTCCACTCCTGGTGGAGGTTTGACAACCAGCAAGACATGCCGATGCATAGGTGATTCCATTTTCACCACACACAGGTTCCCATTTTGTCTCTGAACATTTGCATCTTGAGTTGCAATCTGAAAAGAGAGCTCGTTCATGATAAGAGACAGGTTTGGTTCTGAAAAGAAATGTAACAGTATAAAATATTACCTCTTAGCAGGCAGCACCCTAGTATCTTCAAAAATCAGTGTTCTTGAGTAATATAAATGGCAGTGCCAACGGAGTTTGCCTTTTGGAAACACAATTGTCATCAGAAATGCCAGTTTCTGATTATTAATGTGAGTCTACTATTAAGAAGCTTTCTCTTGAAAGTTATCTTTAGAGGTTTACACCTTCACATGATGTCCAGTTCTTGGTTTATGGTTTTAACTAAAATTGACCATCTCTAGGATCTTCTAATATATTTCTATGCAAAGATGTAGGAAAGTGGCTAACAAAGCAGAAAAGTAAACTTCTAGAGTAACTAATGACATTACTTAAATGCATTGCAGGCAGTGTGTGCATGCACATGCGTGCTCGTGTGTAAATTTCCTTCACAATTGTCTTGGCATCAGTAGAATGGGCATTGCTGATGGTGCAGTAAAAGAAAGAAAACAGTCAAATAGTCAACATTATGTCAACAGACTTCAGTCTGGAAGAGCTACACATCCTATTTGTGTGTCTTACTAATAAATGCATTGCCAGTTCATCTAATTTTTCTCTGTCTCAAAATCTCCCACTCTCTGCAGCTCTTCCGTATCTCAGGTCATTCTTTCTGATTCTCTTGCACATGCTTTTTCAATGACTTACCCATTCATTTGTTCATGTGTTCAAAAATTTTGTGGAAGCCTTCTAAGTGCTAGCTTTGGGAGGAGAGAAGATAGTTACAAATATGAATGAGACAACATTTGCCCTTAAGGAGCTGGCTTTCTGCTCTAACAGTTAACTTTACATAATTTTGATGGTCTTCTCTCTTTTCTCTCCCTCTCTGTCATTCTGTCTTACCGTCCCCCTTTATCTCTCCCAGAATTCCTTCTCTTTCCCTTCTATTTCTTCCCCTCACCTGAATGACCTCATCCTTCTACTTTTATTCTCCTTGTTATTTTCATATTCTTTTATCCTTTTCAGGGCGTACTTATGCAATGGTATTTCTCTTCTACCTGTACCTTATTTTTCATCCCTTGCACTCCATCATTTTTTTCTCTATTATTTCGATTTACTTGCTTATTCTCCTCCTCTCTCTCTCTCTCTCTCTTTTTTTTTTTTTTACAAAAGCATTTGAGGGACTTAAAACTGAAACAATAACAAACCCCATGTGCATGGTCATGTACACTCAGTGAGGGCAGGAACTATTTGTTTTATTCACTCCTGGGTCTCCAGCACCAAGAACAATTAGGGACATACTAGGTTAAGAAACAAGATTTCTGGTAAGTCAATCAAAGTAAAACACTATTTTATTTTGAAGGAAAATAAATTTGGGGCCCTCTTTCTAAGAGGTATGTCCTATAATGATTGCAATTATAATTTCTTAATTGATGGAATATTCCATCTAGTAGAACTGCTATGCATTTGGTTACCTCAAACATGAAAGCCACTAAGATGTCTCCAGACAGAATAAAAGGATATAACTAGGCCTCCTGAGAAGTCATATAGAAGTGTTTCATCCTGTTCTCTTCTGTAAGCCACTAATTGTTAAATTAATTGAGACTGTTTGGTAGTATCTGAAAGTATAAATAAGTGCCTTTGAAAGCCTAGAATCAGGCCACTATGGATAGTGTAGGATTGGGATCTCAGAGGTTACTGTTGAAAGAATTCTGGGGGAGATCTAGGCCAACTTCTCATTCGGCAGATCAGGAAAGTCAGGTCCAAAGTGGGCAAATTACTGGCTCAAATTCACAAGGTTTATTAGTAACAAACTTCAGAATGAGAATTCTTCCAGGCCCCTGGATTCTAAATTTCTTTTCTCACATCAAACTTACTCTCATTATTGCAGAAGAAAGGTTTCTTCCATTACCATATCTAAAGCTGTCTACAGGGTTCCTGTTGAATGTCCAGAATCAAAACAGCCTTGTGGAACAGAGCAACTCAGGATAATCCCTGGGGAACAGGTTGTATTCTATAAAGCCAATTATTTTATATTACTAAAAGTAAGTTAAATTTATCATCTAGGGCTATCTTGAAGCAGAAATTAATTGCATATATGTTTTACAAAGGATGTGTTGGCAGAGCTATTTAAAATTTTAAGATAATTTTTATCAAATATGTCAGAATATTTATACTTAAATGGGATTTTGCTTTCAAAAGAGTCATGTTGGGACACAAAAGCTTTTTCCAGAGATGTTGCCATTTCTTTGGCTGCTTCCAATAGCAAAGCTATCCTTAAAGGTTAAATCTTTGCCATTGTTGGGAATATTCTGAAAAACATGGACAGCAATTTCAAAAGAGGAGTTTTAGAATGTTTTAGATGATGAAAGCATTATTGCAATGCAGTTGTAGTCTTTTAGGGCAACTGCTTTTAAGGGCTAGTACTCATGCAATGAATATATTATCTTTTATTTGTTTAAAAATATTTAATCATTTATTGTGTGGGTAAACTTTTAATGAACCTCAAAACTTTGCCATTGTTGTCCGTTTATGTGTTTGCTTTTGGCTTAGAGACACCACGATGTTGTAGAAAGAATATTATACTTTGAAGAGGTAATTGACCTAACCTCAGTTTCCTTTAAATGAGGATAACAAAACTTAACTCATAAAGATGCTTTGAGGATACAAGTGAGATAATGAAAGTTATGGTGTTTTGTAAATTGCAAAATACACAGAATTTTACCACTGTCTATCTACCATTAGGATCATAGGGACAATTAAAGACAGCATAGGGCTTCTACTCTCTCCAGAATCTTCTTGCAATTCCTGCTTACAACTGACGTCCTTAATCTACATTGCTGACTGTTAGCAATGTTACTACGCTCAGTTAACTGGTAATTGGTAACTGCTTCTCGTAACTCCCAGAAGCAACAGTATATAAACTTCTCAGTCACTAGTTTTCTTGGACTTTTTAGAAGGTAAAAAGTATAACTGATATTCACTTATGAGCAGGAGAAACCAGGTTAATGAGGGTGATGGAGACTGGACTATGGGGACAAGACAGATAGGTAAGCATGGAAGGAAGCACAGGAAGAAAGCTGGAGAGCAAGCGCCAAATAAGCAGCAGCTAAACTAACAGAAACAGATCATTAGATCAGGAGCAGTGGCCTTTGAGCCATAGGCAGAGTTTGGACAGTCAGGCGGCGCAGTCAGTGTGGTTGGCCTGGCTCACAGTAGTGGCTCGATGATTAATTTAAACAGATAATATATAGTTGGGTGGAAGAACGAAGACAGCTGTGTTTGGGAACTCATGTTCAGAGGTAGAGAGATGGCAAGGACTCTTGAAAGGAAAAGACAGGGTAGTTCCTTCAAGATCCAGCTTTGTATTAAGATTGACAGATCCTGGAACCTAAGAAAACTAGTCATCCACCCCATACAAGATGGCATAGGTCTGAAAACATCAATAAATATTCCCCTGACCAACTGCAAAGAGTAAAGAGAGCTGTTGTGTGGCTCACCAGCTGAGGAATAGCTTTCTCTCCTGAAACTTCACATGACTTGAGTACAACAGAGACTACAGAATGTAGCACAGAGACCTTTCCAGTTATCCAAGGGTTCAAAGAAAAAAAATACAATTGTTTACAAATGGCACATTTCTTTTGTGCCAGGAAAGTACTAATGACTTCCATGTATATTATCTTGGTTAAATCTTACAACATTTTATGAGGTAGTTATTATTCTTATTTTTAAAGTGGAAAAATTTGAGGTTTGATTAGATTAAATGACCTATACAAAGTCACTTCATTAATGATGGACAGAGGCAAGATTCAAGGTCTGTGTTTTCCACTGGCAGATTGCCTTATATAAGGAAGATATAGAAGTAATATTTTTAAAAATTTCTCTTAGATAACCAAATTCAAAGGAAATGACAGATTTTGGTGACACTAACAGCTCCCATGTCAAAGTACTGTCAGCTATTCCACAGTAAAACTATAATTCCTTTCTCATATTTATGATGTTTACAATCAAATTATCTTATTTTGAAACTCTATCAATAATTAATTTGATTAAACAAGCCAATTTCCTCAGATTACTTAATGAGTGAACCTACCCTTGGTAGGAGACAGTTAGTCCTGCCACATCAGAATTTTCACAGCCCAGTGCAAACAGGGAAAGGAATAGGAGGTACCCAAGAACAGATGATCCCAAGTAGAGTTTTGCAGCTCCATACACACTGATTCTGAATTTTTTCATAACTATCCCCCCAGAGAATATTCCAAAGGCCACTGCAGGTATGTTGATGAGCCCTGAGGAACAACAACAATAACAACAATAAAAAAAAAATATATATATATATATATATCATTTTGTGAATCTCTAAAAGAAATCTGAGTGTACTGACATAAAGTTTCTAAGAGATTATACAAAACTATATAATAGTTCCTGACAAGTTATTAGACTGGCTGGTCATTTTAAGTTATAGAAATATTAATTCACTATTATTTACTGGCATATCAAGAGATTTTGATGAGTGTCCAGGTTATAGATTAATGATAGCACAACTGAGAGTCTCAGAAGTCTGCCTAACTTGTCTAGCACAGAGTTTAAAATCAATAAACACTGGATTAATCAATGAGTCAATGTCTTTCTTGTCTAATCCCAGGATTAACAGGTACAAGCAAGGGGCAACTAGGGGATAGTTAACATTCTTTAAGTTTGTGCATAAAAGAATAATAGATATATGGAATTCAGGGAACAAAAACACAGTTTTCTTTTTTCTAGCCCAAACAAAATTAATTTTTTTTAGAGTCTTAGTTGCTTAGTTTGGTATCTTTCCTAACAACCACCACAACAAAACAACAATAACAAAACAATGTATTATTTGACTCTTTTTGTATTTACTAATTGCTTATAATGTACTAACCACTCAGCTAAGCATTTGATATATCTCTCACATTTATCCTTCACTGCAACCCTAGTAGATAGCCATATTGTTATTTTCACTTCAGACAGCAATTTATTCATGGTCATAGTAAGTGTTAAAACCAGATTTGACAATATAGAGTTGATGTCAAATCTCATGCTTTTTTTTTTTTTTTTTTAAGATTTTATTTATTTGACAGAGAGAGACACAGTAGGAGAGGGAACACAAGCAGGGGCAGAGGGCAAGGGAGAAGCAGACTCCCGGCTGAGCAAGGAGCCCGATGCGGGGCTCCATCCCAGGGCCCTAGATCATGACCTGAGCTGAAGGCAAGCGCTTAACGACTGAGCCACCCAGGTGCCCCAAATCTCATGCTTTCAATCACTACATTATACTGTCTCTCCACCAAAGAGTTTGGAACACAGGACTCTTGATAAATAGATGTGCGATCTCACTAATAATCAAATAAATGTGATTTTAAAACAACACTAGGAAGAGATCCAACAAAGTGGTTGAGAGCTTGGACTCTGGAGACCTAAATGCCTGGTTTGGACCTCAGTCCCACACATTAATAGCTGTGCAATGGCAGGTGATTCTCTGAACTTCTATAAACCTGTCTCCTTACCTATAATATGGAGCAAAAATAGTGCTGAGGTGACTAACATGAAAAGTTCCTAGCACAATACACAGCACAAAAATATCATTCAATTAAGTTGTTACCAGCATTTCAATCTGTCAGATTCACAAAGGTGAAAATATTAGGATGGGTGGATGGAGTGGAACATGTCTGTGTTAGAAAAGGTGGGAAAAGTGGCTCTTTGGTGACTTCTTGGTTAGATTCTAAATTGGTAAATGTTAAAATTAAAATGATCACATTAGAAACCAGAGGAACCATGAGAGACCGTGGACTCTGAGAAACAAACTGAGGGTTCTAGAGGGGAGGAGAGTGGGGGGATGGGTTAGCCTGGCGATGGGTATTAAAGAGGGCACGTATTGAATGGAGCACTGGGTGTTATACGCAAACAATGAATCATGGAACACTACATAAAAAAATTAATTAATTTAAAAAATATTATAAAGAACAAACAGTAAAAAGAAAAGAAAAAGAATCAACCCACCTTGAAGGGGGCAAAATCACAAAATTGGTGAAATAAAAAAAAAAAGAGGAGGTGCTAGTTTTTTCTTTCCCAGCTAAACTGAGGTTTGTGGCTGTAGCAAGTGGCAGAGATGAATGTATCCTGGGCCCCTAAAGAGCCAAATGTCAAATAAGAGGAACCTGATTATTATTTATTTTTAAAAAGAGAGCATATAATGGAAAATAATATAACAAACCTGGTTTCTCATGACCCAAGTTAATAAATGCTAATATTTTCTCCCAATTTTTCTGATTTTTAAATATGGAGATATATAAGACAGATTCCTTCTCTGTTCCGGATTCCATCTTCCTTCTCAAGAACTAACCATTGCCATGGATTTGATGTGTGTCATTTAAGTCCCTATTTTTACATACACATATTCATAGTACTTGACTTTGAATCCCCCTGTCATACACCCAAGACTTACACAAAAAGGGCAGAGTCTTATTCTCTCTTTCAATTCTATCCCCCAAAAGAGGTTTATAAAAAAACACATCTTCTGAAAACTAGGTTCTAAATTGAAACCTTGAGAGAATGTGCTTAGAATTTCATTTATTTGTAAAGTACCAATCCAAACCTGGGACATAAGGAGTCATAGCATAAAGGATACCCTTTGATACCCTTTGTAACTTCATGCTGCATGGGTTTCCACTAACATTTCCCCACCCTGATCTGGCCTAGAAGAGCCTGAGAATCAAAATGGGATGATTCTATGGGTATTTCTCCCTCAGTACAGAATGTTAAAAATCAGGAATATCCTCTCTTGACTGATCTCCTCTTAGAGGCCTGTGTTCTCTTGAAACTTCCAGAAAGTTTCATGTATTCTCTTGCCTCCAGTCCCTTCTACACAAGATATCTGCTTAATCTGACCAACATTCTTTCAAAACCCCACCCTAGTTTCTACATTTTCATCTTTTAACACCTCCTTATTCTTTTGCTTTTGATTTAGGTATTGACACCTTCTCCTAGAAGATTTTCTTCTGACTCCAAGATAAGGTTTGTTCTCCCAGAGTTCTCTGGACTTCTCATAATTAGAGACTTCTCACAGCCTCCACCAGCTGTATGGTGCCTCCAGGGACATCTCTAGCATCAGGGTGCACAAGTTGGTCATCAGAAGCCCCTTTCCTCCTCCCTCTGCCTCTGGCCCTTGTACAGGGTCCCATAGGTTGCAGTCTTGGTCCTTGTCACAATTACCTGTTAGCTTATCTGGTTTGCACCCCTCACCTTCCAAGCTCACCTTCAAAGCAAAAACTGTGCTCACCATTACATCCTGCGCTCCTTGCAGTTTTCCACAAAAATGTGCTAAACTAAACTTTAGTCTATCCATGTATAACATTTCACCTGGATATTTTACTTTCCTATTTCAAGATAAATGAATTATAACATGATTCTGTAAAACAGTAGTAGTACATTTCAAATATACTGTCAGCTTGATTCCCCCTTTCAAATTCCCTAGGATCTGTAAGCTATCTATGCTGGGCCAAGTTGAGTTGATAGCAGATTTCCTAAACATCCAATAATGTTTCCTCCCAAAACTTCTCTTCTTTCACCTGAGGCACTTTTAAGTCAGCTAATGAAGTAGAAATTTCACTCTGATTTCTTCATCACACACTTTTTTTCGCTCACACCATAAAATGTGCTGATCTTAAAACGTTTACCATTTAATATTCCAAATGGAAATACCAGTTGTAATTTACACCAGCATCCACAATTTGTTTCAATTTACTTTATGTACTTCTTTTGAATTTAATATATTTACTCAAATAACAGGAAAGCTAGGAGAAATTTAAGAGCAAATATGTTGTTGTTACTTCTGTATACTCATTCAAGCTGAAGACCTTATTCTTTGTTACTGTTCGAAACAGGAGTTATGAGACTTGTGTAAAATATTTTAAGATGGACAGCACAGTTACAATATAATTTGGGAACTCTGATTCCCATAAAAACATATAATAGTCTTAGTCATTAAAATGAAATAGTAATAAGTTATAATAATAATAGTACTTTGGGATGTACTTAGAGCTTTTCTCCAGCAAAGAAAAATTCTGTAATATATAATTGACCTTCACAATATTACACTAATGTTAGAAGATATAAATATTAAGATTTGAATTTTACAGAGAGAGAAATACAAGGAAAAATTTATGGGACTTTTCACACTCATGTAGCCAATTGGGTGTAGACAAAGAAGTAAACTTAGCCATCTTTCTTGGGTATAATGAAAGTATTTTTTTCCTCACAAACTAAGATTGTTTTCCATTATCTCACAGATTTTTAATATAACTTAATAAACTTGACCTAATTCTAGAACACATCATAAAACATATTTCATTTGCTCTGCTAGCTTAGCCACAAAAATTAGTGTTTTCTATTAATAAGTAACTTTCCCCAAATAATTATCATAACTTTTCCTTATTTGTAACCTCTCCAAGAATGGAGAATGATAATCATTGTTGTCAATGAGAGTCAATGTCAATGTATCATGTCCACTAGGTATTGTCTTATTTAATAAAAAAAAACTCCAAGAAATTAAGAAAAATGACTAAATAATTGCAATCTGTGTATTAAGAAGGAAACAAAACATAAGATCATTTTCACATAACTTAACAGTGATAGAAGAAGCTTTAAAAAAGGAGAAAAATTCAGCTATCTAAACTTCGTCCGGAAATTGCAATGGGGAAAATAAAAACCCACACACTCAAAAAAGCAAAATCATTTTGCCATATGCCTCCTAGTCCCTGAATTTGAAACATTTTTGTTGCTTATTTTTCTTTAATTTTCTTTGCAAAATTAAAGTAGCTAACATGAGAAAATATTATTTCTTAACTTTAGAAATACGGCCAACATAGCAAAACATGTATAGCAAAAATAAATCATCATTGTAACAACTGGCCCTTGAACACAAGGAAAATTTCTGTTTATGCTTTCCACCATGTCATGTCAGATGTCTTCTCTGAGAGCAGAGGGGAAATGTGCTTTCTTCGTGTTTCTCTCCCTTATTTCATCACGGAAAGGATCATTCTTTGTGGCCTCCCCCACCTTACCCCCAAAAAAATGAAGGAGAAAAGAGAGAGAAGTATGATAGAAGAAGAGAAAGAAGTGAGAGAACAGTATTTATTGAATGACAGCTGTATACATTTACAATGTATTTTATAGGTCTTATTTAATCTCTATTTTAACCTAATGATGCATTTGTTTTCACCATTCTAAAGATAATCAAAATAAGTGTTATGGATATTGACTCATTTTCCCACTTACTCTTACTGTGCTTTTTTTCCATACTTAATTAATGTGAAACCACGATACATTCAGGAAAGAATCCTAGCTATAATGATTGAAGTCATTAGACACTATTACTTATCTCTCACAAAAGCACTTGAATTATCCATAGACATGACATGATAGAAATTATGAGGAATCAGAATTTTAGGCAAACTTTGATAGAGGAGTCAAAAAATTCTGATGATGAGCTTGGATCTCAGGGACCATCTGAGTGTACAAAGAAGGATTATGGTTAAAAGAAATCAACTGCCCACAACTTAAAAAAGAATTATTAGATTCTTCTTGTCAGTTTTCCAAAAAATAATTATGTCCAGAGAGGAAATATAACTCAGGGGAAATAATTTTATTCCTGGCTACATCATAATGTATATATGCAATTAGGCAGGCCACTGAATCTCTCAGAATTTCAAGTTCTTTCATCTGTGCTAATTTTCCTTAAGAATAATTTTATTGGCAAAAGTATTTCATTTATTATCTACCCAATAAAGGAATGAGATTACATATAATCTCATTTTCTATTATAAATATCTTTCCCCAAACAATGCTTAATTTTCCTTTATGAAATAAATGTTTTTAATTTGAAATTAAAAAGGTATTTATCATTCTAGTGACACCAAAATCAAATGCCCTCAAACTCTGTTATGCACATGTTGAATAATAAAAAACAAACATACACTTAAAGATGTGTCACTTCATTGCAATTCATGGGGGAAAAGATGGCTTTTTCATTTTGATAAATGAACTTGACCTTTTCCTTCACATTATACTAAAAAAAAAAAAATTGAAATGTGTGATAATCAGAGTCACCTGGGTGGTTCAGTCAGCTAAGCATCTGCCTTCCACTGGGGTCATGATCCCAGGGTCCTGGGATCCAACTCTGCATCCAACTCCCTGCTTAGTGAGGAATCTGCTTCTCCCTCTCCCTCTTCCCCTCCCCCTGCTTGTGCTCTCTCTCTCTCAAATAAATAAAATCTTTAAAAACAATACACTACCTGAAATGTATTATAACCTAAATGTAAAAGTTAAAACACTTAGGCTACTAGTAGAAATATTAGGAAAACATTTTCATGGCCTTCGGTTTTGACAATTTCTTAAAACAGGCAATAAGATAGCACTAATGAGAAAGAAAAAGACTGGAAAATGGACTTGCTTAAAAATAAGCAGCTTACCATTAGGACAGTGAAAAGAAGAACTGAAGTCTGTGAGAAAATAGTTACAATACATATATTCAATAAAGAACTTGTATCATGAAAAAAGTACCTACCCCTACAAATCAATAAAAAAAGAGACAGCTCAAGAGAAACAGGCAAACAATTTGAACATAATTGACAAATGAGAATGTTGAAGTAACCACAAGCCTGCAAAAAAGTGCTCAACATCATTAGTTATCAGTTAAAGGCAAATAAACTATAAGATATCACCACACCCCATAAGAAGGGTTACAGTGAAAAAGACTGACAATACTAAGTGTGATAGGGATGTGGAGCAACTGGAAAGTTCTTATACTTCTAGTGTGAGTATAAATTTACACAATCCTATTGTAAATGTTTTGGTTATATTTACTGGATCTAAACATACATATTTCCTATGGCCTAGCAATTCTGCTCCAAGATACAGCCAAGAAAAACATTGTGTATACAACCACCAAAATACATATAGAATGGTCATGCAGTGTTATTTATAATAGTCAAAAGCAGAAAACAACCCAAATGCCCACCAACAATAAAATGAATAAACTGTGGTATATTCATGTGATAGGATATGACACAGCAACTGAAAAGATCAAACTGTTATACACAACATGAATGAATCTCATAGATTTCACTTTGATTGAAATAAGCTAGATACAAAAGAATACATAGCATACTATTCCATTTGTATAAAGTTCAAAAACCAGCAAGGCTGACCTGTGATGACAAAGTTCAGGATAATTATTAGCATTAGGAAAGTGTATGGAACAGGAGGAGGTTTGAGGGAGCCCTCTGTGGTTCTGAAATGAGTTCCATGTTCCAGCTGATAGTTACTATACGGATTTTTGTGTAAACATTTATCCAGCTGAGCTACACATTTAGGGGCTGTAGAGTTAACTATTGTTTGTAAGTTATAGCTCAATAAACACAAAGGAGATTTTGAAATAAAAAGAATGGCTCCTAAGCTTTTATTTCTCTTCTATTCTTGTTAAAGTCAGTATAAAGCACTGATTGGCATGGAGGGGGTTTTGGGGGAATAAAATGTTTCTTCAGGTAAACCATTAAATCATACAATTAAATCAATCTGAACCAATTAATGTTGAAAGTAAAAGTTGAGTGGTATAGCTTTAATATTTATAATTTAACAGAATAGTCTGAACAGTCAATTAAATTAGCACCTACTAAGTGTCCATTATCCAGGATTCTTACAGGACAATTACATATTCTGAAATAAGCTCAGAGGCATCTTTCAGAGATAGAGAAATAGAACAATTTTAAAATATTTTATGAAGAAGAAATGTTTTTTAAATCTTTGGATTTTCCTACCATTAAGGAATATGTCCCAAGGAATAAAATATGCCTTTAAACAGAAGCATTAAATGATGTTCTCATGAACTAATGGAGCTAATCCAGGTTTTAAAAGTATCCAATTACTTGGAGCATGATGTTCATGTATTTGCACATTCTGGTTCTTCATTCATTTCTTCATGCTTTTCTTTGCCCTTCAATAGCTTTTTCATTGTTGACTGATCCGCTATGCTAGAAACACAGCCCTTTTAAATAACCTGAATGCCAGGACTGAGGAAAGTCCTTTAACTCTGAGCAAAAACAAACTTTGTTTTGCAATGAACACCTTTTAACCTCTCCAAATACTCACTTTTTATAATCCTAGAAACTGTTCAGGTAAAATGGCCACTGTTAGGAAGTTTTGGCTACACTTGAAAGACACATACCCAGTATCACAATCTCCTAATAAAATGCACGTTCGGTTTACCTAATATTCTTAAGGTCACTCATTTACAGTTGTGAATAATTCTTGCTGCAAAATTGTACCGCAGACAACCTCAGTATTTTAACTGGATTTTTTTTTCACTCTGCTAGATTTTTTTCACTCACTTTTTGACTTCATATCTAAAATGTTGTAAATCACCTTCAGTCTAAACATGAGAATACCTAAATGCCTAAGGGTTAACAAGATGCAGCTGATAGTGCCTACTGGCAAGTGTGAAGGACAGGTGAACATACCGATAACAAAGTTGGCCTTAGAGGATGACTGCCCATACTGCTGCTCAATGTACTTGGGTTTATAGGTCACCATTCCGAACAAAGAATTGAACTGAACGGTGCTGGCACACAAATATAACAAGTACAGTGGATTTCCAAAGAGATTCTTCAGTGATGGAAGAAAATCTATAAGACAAAAATAACATGGAGTAATTAAAGACAGCATTACACTTAGCAGAAGACACAGCCTTGGCACCAGGGCATAGCTGGCCGAGTCCCACTGCCACGGTTATAGCATGGTGCCCATATACACTATGGATATGAAGCATTGGCAAAAGTCAAGGCTGAGATCTGTCAGGTTCATATCTAGACACAGGCACTCGCTTCTACAGGCATATAATTTAGATTACAGTAGAGGTATAAGTCAGACAGGAACACGTTCCTCCCAATGATATGGGTAGAAGGAAAGAGGGACAAGAACACTCTCTCCCTACGGAGCTGAAAGTCATTGGTAGGACATCTAGAACTTCAGTTTTCTGGTCTCTCCTCTTCAAACTTGCGTCATGGTCACAGAGAAAGAAACATGAACATTATCTCCATTTAATTTAATGAACTTAATGTAAGAAATGAGCTTTGGCATTCTCCCTTCTTCCTATTATGCAGCTGAAGAGTTTGAAATGTGAAGATTTTTCTGTAAATATTGCTTGCTGGGCCCAACTGAGGGGGACCAATCTGTCTCATGGCCACTCTTTTTCCATGTGAAAGGAATTCATGTTAACATGTCTGGCCTTGTGCCCTGCACCACACTCACTCCTTTGATCAATAGTGGGAAACATGCACCGACACATTTGTCGAATGACTGAATCTCATCTGTTAAAAGGCCACAAGCTCTGAAGATTCACTCTTTTCTGTCCACCCAGACTGATGCGAAGCAGCAATCCCAGATAGGAGCCATTGCCAGGTCTAACCTGTAGTAGTGTAAGGGTGGGAATGTCAGCAAGAAGGTTACTAAAACTTTGGGTCATGATCTTTAATCCCTCTCCAGTAATAAAGCTGACTTTGTAATCTTCAGTTCTGCTTCCTGTATAGTTTCTCAATTTTTCTGAACAAATGATGGGGAGAGAGGGGTATTATTTATAGATTCCTTACAGAGTCTCAACAGGAAAACTGAAAGTGCTTCAAAATCAAGGAGAATCTGGCTCACCTCTTGCCATTTCCATTATTTTTGACTTTTCTCCAAGGGGTGTTTGGTAGTCTGTATGATCATCCATAATAAACTTGAATTTTTCAGAGGAGGAATTGGAATCCTCTCTACTTCGGGGTCTCGGCAGACTCTTTGGTAAACACCAGAAAGGCAGAGCTGCAAGAAGACTTACAATTCCTGCTATTAGGTAACCCAGCCACCAGGCTCCTACCCACTGGGGATCCTTTGGAGTAATGGTTACATGATCTGAAAGACAGAGAGGATGGCTAAATAGCATATACAGCAAAGCCAGTGAGTTGAAATAAGCTCATTTTTAAAAAAAATCCTAGCATCAGCTCTATCACATCATAAAAATACCTAATAATTCATGCATGATAACTTTCTAGTCTGAATATTATCATCATCTTGCTTTTTGAAGGAAACATGGTGCTTTTTTTCTGGAACATGATGCTTTTCTTCATTTGTTCCTTAGATTTAAAATATAGAGTCTAAATCCTGGGGGAAGGGGGTCTTACTTTGCCCTGGGGTTCTGCAGAGGGACCCCCTGGCCCATGACAGGAAGCAAGCACCCTATGAGGGAGAATTATGGGGGCTCCAAGCCTTCTGCCAACTCCCCCACATCAGCACCGCTTGCATCTGGTCCACGTATTGAATGTCTGTCCAAGATTTTTCTCAAAGAAAGAGTTATATCCTACACCCTCTGGTCCCAATCTAGTCTAAAACACTCAGAATGTTAGTCACTAAATGACAGTAATACTTCAGAGCTAATCTAGGTCTGAAGCAAGATTTGTATATACAAATAAAATGTCAGTATCTTAGTCATCATCAAAACTTTATTTTTGACACCATTTCTTATTTGATGAAAAGGTAAGTAGTGATGAAGTTTTTTTGAACCAAATCAAGTGTTTTTTCTTCTTTTCTATATAAGAACCCATAAAACATATGATAGATCTACCTCCACTGCACTCTGTGAGAACAATGAAATAAACACACGTCCTTTGACAACTAGGCTCAATTGCCACATTATACTTGGTAAAATGTTCACACTGCCTCATCACTGCATCTTCGTTGCTTCCCCTTAACAATTTCCCTCTGTACCACTCATCACACCTATTCTTTCTTATCTGAATCAATCTCCATGATTGGATTTTAAAACCTCAGGAAGTCAAGGTGCTCAACTACCATTTTATTCACCATTTTGTGGTAGAACAGCACCTGGGATAGAATAGATGCAAAATTAATGAGGTTAATGAATAAAATTTTTGGAATGTGTCTTGTAGTTTATTTGCTAAAGAAGAAAAATTGGTGCAAGAGTTTTTGCATTTAACACATGAGGACTTCAAAATGCAGTTTCAGAATTTTTAAAGATGAAACTTGTTTTCTTGTTTCTAACTCCTTTCTTGAACTTCTTAAAAAAGGAAGAAAAGTAATGTCCATATCCAGGAGGTACATCTCACAAGGACAGAGACACATTAATAGCTATGGAAGGATGAGGTCCCCCATTTATTCCCTCCACAAGTACTCTCCCAGAGAATAAGGTAGACTCACTCTAATATGCCTCCACCTGAAAAAGATTTGTACAGTAAAGAACATATTTTGGTTGCCAGAACACTTTCAGTTCTTGGTCTTCCTGGCAAGTCTACAAAATACATTATCAATTGATGTGTCTGTCTTGTTATTACACCTGAACCAACAAGAGCCAACAAGAAGCCACAGTTTTCAGTCTTAACTATGCTGGAATGCATTTGAAGTGGCAAACCAGAAGTGAAAAAGGATACATCTGAATAACAAACCATGGGTCATCCAGTTCTAACCACTGCCTATTTTTCATATTCCATTTATTAATGCATGCAGTGATTAGATCAATGACAAATTTTCAGTGGATTATTTTCATTTTATGAAAGATTACCATCCTGTCACTTTATGAAAAGGGAATTTGATATTTTCTACACCATCCCCATTAAAAAAATTGCAGTGACTAAAATAAATAAATAAATAAAAATAAACTTTCTTACCTAGGTTTACAAAGCCAATGTCAACATACAGTTTGGCACATAATGAGCCTAGCAGGAAGCCAAAGATCGGTCCTATAATTGCAACCGTCTGCACACACCCTGCACCCAAAAAAAAAAAAAAGAAAGCGGCATTTCTCCGCTTTTGTAAATTAATAAATTTTTAAACAAGAAATAGGAGTGAGATCCAGTTAGTAGCTGAAAATATCTCATCAACTCTTTACTTAAGTGTGCTTAATTTGTCAATTTTTCAACCTTATTGAATCAGGAACTAAGTCCTTCTCAGCTTTGGAAGAAGAATGAACACTTGGGAGGCATTAATTACCTCTTAGTAAGGAAATAACACCAAAATTCTGAAGAAGTTAATTTCCCCCAAATGGAGCAAACTTTACTCCTTAGTATTAGATTTGCCCTACTGATTAAAAAAAAAAACAAAAAACAAAAAACAAACAAACAAAAAAAACAGAATTATACTATTTTGACAGTCTTTCAAAAACTTCTTATGGTTGGTTAAGCATAAGAGTCATTTTGACATTAAAATTGATTTCTTCCACCTTAGAGCAAAAGTGCATGCATTCAGAGAGTCTGTGGGACCATGTGAGAGCAGTAGCTATGCAGATCCCTGAACACAGAGAGCCAAGGAGCTAGACCTGTGAATGCAGAGAGGTGCTCTTGGGAACAATCACGACCAGCCTGGGCAGCATTAACAGGAATCTAGAGCAGATTGCTTAAACCACACCGTTTCTGGGTACCAGAAAGGTAGCTGTATGTCCCATCTGCCTTTCATTTCACCACAGAGCTTGATGCACACATATCCCTGGCAGATTAATTTAAATTAAGAGGAGGAATAAATGGCAGTTACCAGATCCTTTCTGGAAGAGAAGAGGGGGTGAAGAGAGAGGGCAGGAAGGGGACACCCTGACACCTGCATGCATCTCTTGGCTTGCAACCTTTCCTCTAGTCCCCAGAGTAACTGCCTAGCACATGTGATGGAGCTTCTGTTCCAGGTCCTGATTTACACTGCAGTTTTCCATCAGAGCCTGCTTGACTGTAATGAGAGCCCTCTGGAGTTCTGTGCACATGGCCAGGGCAGAACTATACTGTGGAGCTAGTCCCAGCCCCTTTCAGTGAATTTAAATCTTGTCCTCTATCCCTTGAAGGCCAGGCCTTCAAAAGATCAGAGCCCCAAGAAATCAAGACTAATGTGTGAAAAGGAGAAAAATTTAGTTTCTAAGACTCAAGAGGTACTCCATAAATGCTACTTAGATGCATCTGGCCTTGAAGTTTGAGTTTGCTGTGGTGTGTGTGTGTATGATTTTAGCTGCTGGTCTATCTACTGGCACCTGTTCCAGACACAGATTAGCCTCAGGCCTTGCTCTCATCCTTTCTGTGTTTTTATCCATTCATACTTGCTATTGAGAACTCAGAATTCCTTGCCTACCCCTCACAGGAAGAAAATGCTTTAAATAGTCAGGGCTTAAAAAATGGGAAGTAGTTTCTAGGGCTCTGGAAACAAAATAAAGAATGAATATAAATGACACCTAAATGCTTCAGGAGTACAGTTAACCCAGTAAAAAGAACCTATGAAATCTGAAGTCCAGGAAGATATTTGCACAAAGTCATACATCATGGCAATTGATCTTCCAGTTATTTCCTTTTAATCTGATGTTCTTTCCCGAGTGCAATTCATCTTTCTAATTCAAGTTTCTTCATCCAAATCCTCAGTGTGGACCTCAGAAACATGTGAACTCAAAAAAGGAACTGGATCTGAAGGATAAAACCTTCCACGCTCTATTTAGTTTGGAATGGAGTTGAGAAAACCAGGTACCCTGCTTCCCAAGAAGATGAATGAGGTAGGCTTTACCAATATAGAAAGCAGAATTGTCTTCACTGGCAAAATCATCAAGGTAGGCAATGCCTAGAGGCTGAATAGGAGTTTCCCCAATTCCACGAAGAAGGTTCCCCAGGAAAACATAAACCCACATGGAAGAGCCGGCATCCATTTCACATTCTTGAAAGGAAAGCGAATAACAGGAATGAAATTAGATCAGTATCAAAGTTAAATATTTATTCTGCATTTCTACAAGCTGTCCTAAAATTGGATTAGGATGTAAAAGTGAAATTTTCAATAGACATAATTTGATAGGAGTCAGAGCAAGTTTGGAAAATATTTTGGCTTCAATGTTTTAGGCAATGTAAATACCCCAGAGATTTTGATCAAGGAACTCTTTTGATTCTTCTTTCTGATGCCTTGCTTATTTTCTCTTTTTTATTCTATATTTACACTGAATCCTTTGAATTCCTATGCTCCAATAACATTCAATATCCTGCCTGGGACAAAACACAAAATTTCGAATGAAGGATTTTCTCCCCTTAATCTTTAAACTTTTCAATTTTTCAACAGAAATCACTTGTAATTTTATTGCTGACCAAGTTTTATCTGAAATTCAAAATTTTATATGGGTGATACTTCAACTTTGGGCAGCATCACAATTGTTTGACAGTGAACAACCATTTTTAGGGCTCATGTTAAGGAAACTAACTTCACATAAAAATTTAAAACCCTATATGTTTTAGTAGTATAACTCTTCCAACAGAAAGAACCTTTCAGCAGTCTTCTTAGAATGAAATTCAAAGCTAACAATTTTTAAATGCTTTTGTAGAAGTCATGTCTTGATATAATCATGTGAAGCTGGGGAATTAACTTCCATATCACAAGTGAAATACACTTTGAAGAGTTTAATCACTTTAATAAAAACGATAATATTTTCTATCTCCAACAATCACCACTTCTGAATGCTCCCTTTCTGTCAGGCACTGGGCTAAGTGATTGGCAGGCATTTTTAAAATTAAATTCTCCTAATAATCCTATGAGGTAGGAGTTATTTCCACTTACTTGTAGCCCTTAAAGTAAAATTTGAAGGTAAAATATGGGTTATTTAGAACTGAGGTGAATTCTTTTGTGCAGATGAGTCAGACTGTGTGACAGACCAGACTATTGTGTGTATAGTCTTGTTACTTCCTAACTCTGCCTCTTCTAGAAATGTAGCCAAGTGACCAAGCATTTTTTTTATTTATCTTCTGTGGATTTCCATTCCACTCCCCACAAATATAATATTAATTCCTTTTCTTAAAAAAAAAAAAACCTAATTCTAATATCAATCCTACTCCTAACATTTGTGTGATCCCAAGAAGCTTGTTGGTAGGGAAGTCTTATAGATAGGGGAAGACATCTTAGATCTGTGCTTTCCAGTATAGTAGCCACACACCACATGTGGCTACTGAAATGTAAATTAAGGTTACAGAACATTAAAAATTCAGTTCCTCAGTCACACTAGCTATATTACAGTACTCAACAGTCATATGTGGCTAATGGCTGCTCTATCAGTCAACATAGATGTAGAACATTTCCACCATCGCAGAGAGTTCTGTTGGACAGCTCTGCTCTCCAGTGTTGTGGGGGGAATGGAAGTTGTACAGGGAGCATTTTTGAGAAGAGCCCTATATTTACCCCACTATCATTTTGAGGATGAACTTTGTATCCACTATGTCTGATGTCCACATAAGTCTATGACTTTAAGGGAGCAAGACCTCATTTAAAGAAAAAGATTGAGTTGTGAGTCTTATACTGTGTACCTGTCTAATAACTTGTCTCTTCCCACTAAAAACATTTTAATTCCTGCCTCTAAACCCTATGTTTCTCTTCTTAATATTAAAGGTTTAAATATTTCCTAATTAGTTGTATTGCCATTTATATCACATCTTTTGTGATTATCAAAAACAAAAACAAAATATCTTCAAACCTCCTCCCTCTCCTTCCAGGGTGTTTTTCTGCTTCTTTTCATACAGTGGGATGGGGTAACCTTTTTACATGATTACATCTTCCCTACCTCCTCCCCTCATATTTCTAGATTTCCTTTAATCCTCTGGCCCTTCCCTTCATTCAAATAACCAGACTTTAAGTGTTCACTGCTCAGGAAAAAGACATCTCAAAAGAAAGCACTGATGAGGATATTAGGGGAAATTAGTTTTATGATATAGGCAAAATATTTGCATGACTAACAGGTAGATAAAAGAGAAGCTTCCACACTGCCTATAAAGAAATCAATCCGGAGGCTAGGAGCAGGGAGTGAGGTGGGAGTGGTGAAGAGGAAGCGCAGAGCATGTCAATGCTGAAGGGCAGTAGAGAGAGGGGGGCATTTGAGCTCCTGTCTCTGTAGCATCCTGGAGACATGGCAGACACCTGTGGGTAGATGTGTGGACTCCATGAGCAGGGAGAACCTGTGCCACCATGGCCAGGTAGAGCCCAGGAAGGTATCAAGACCCAAAAGCTGAGACGGTTGTACACTGTGGCCCTGCTTTTGACTCCTCAAAGGGTTTCCAGAGGATTCCCATGTTCCCAAGGGTGGCTTACACAATGCATTGATATGGAATATGGGTCAGCCATATGGAACTCTAGAACATTCTAACAAAATTCCCTGCATCCTGTCTTATGTGGAAAATAGAACTATTTCCAAGCTTCCAAGACTGTCACTTCTACATTAGAGAGAGCTGCTGTGCTAAAAAGGACAGGAAGGTAGACATAGGATGGTCTTAAAATGACATGTATGACCAAACACTGTGGCCAGAGGGATTTTAAATATCTAAGTTGACCAGGGACTGATAACACTAAGAGGCCCCTCCCACAACCACCCCCTTTGCTATGTAAGCTCCCCAGAATGTAAGCAACCGTTGGAGGAAAGGGTGAAGGTTAGGGACAAATTGAGATTAAATTTTTGTCATTCTGATGGAAAGGGGCTGGACACAGATTTTCAATTGAGATCTGGGGGAAAATTATATTTCATGGCTGAGCAATGGACTGAGATTTGTATGTGCCAAGCTAGTTTTATCCTGATTTGATGGCCCACCTTATTTGGAACCACTGGGAGCTTTTCTGTCACTGACAATTAATGCCCCTTTCCATAATATTTGAATCTCTGCATATTCTCTTAGGATCTCATCATATACTGCCTTATATTCTAGGAATTTTTATGGCACTATAATAACCCAATTTAAGTAGTAAAGCTTTTCACAGAAAAAAAATCACAGAAATTTTTGTCCATCCTAAAGCACATATAAATTCTTTTTTAAAAGCTTTCTTAGTCAAGTAAAAAAATCATCTTACCATCAGTCCTTTTGGATTGTGATTTTTCTATAATCGAGAGAGGTAATTGACTGTCTGACTCCAAAAGACATGGAGAGAGGCTGAGAGTGGAATTAGAGAAAGGAGAATATTTTTCATATTTGTACCTGTACAAAAAGAATGTTTTCTTTACTACAGACTCATTTAACATCATGCTAAAAATATTATATGGGACATTACATGACTCATTAGGGCACCTGTTTGAGTTTGCGGCTACCCCTGAATCTGAATCACTAAAACCAAACCAGCATTTAACAACAATGACCTGAAGGTCTAGACAGCCAGAAAGTCTGGCTCATTGTTATTTCCACTATCTGAACCAATTACCCAGTGTAGTAAAAGAAAATACAAGGGTTCATTTTAATGTAAAAATAATGACTCTAAATCACCTGCTCCCGATAAAAAATATCCAACACTTGATAAAATCATGATTATCTCTAAGTCAGAGGAAAAGAAATAATTGAAAACTATGGTCTTGCACACTGGATTTAGAGTTGTAAATTTAGTAGAACAACTGCATTGCTGATTCTAGAGAACTGATGATGATATGTGGGGTTTGGGGGTTTAAGTTTTTATTTAAATCCCAGTTAGTTAATATACAGTGTAATATTAGTTTCAGGTGTACAATATAGTGATTCTACACTTCCTGCAACACAAGGTGCTCATCACAAGTGAACTCCTTAATCCCATCACCTATTTAACCCATCCCCCCACCAACCTCCCCTCTGGTAACCATCAGTTTGTTCTCTAGAGTTAAGAGTCTGTTTCCCTCCCTCCCTCCCTCTCTCTCTCCCTTTTGGTCATTTGTTTTGCTTCTTAAATTCCATGTGAGTGAAATCATATGGTATTTGTCTTTCTCTGGCTGACTTATTTCACTTAGCATAATACCCTCTAGCTCCATGCATGTCATTACAAATGGCAAAATTTCATTCTTTTTGATAGAGTAATTTTCCAGAGTGTGTGTGTGTGTGTGTGTGTGTGTGTGTGTGTATACATACAGCACATCTTCCTTATCCATTCATCAGTCAATGGACACTTGAGCTGTTTCCATAATTTGGCTACTGGAGATAGTGCTGCTATAAACATAGGGGTGCATTTATCCCTTTGAATCAGTATTTTGATATCCTTTGGGTAAATACCTAGTAGTGCAATTACTGAATCATAGCGTTGTTCTATGTTTTTTTAAGATTTTATTTATTTATCTGACAGAGAGAGAGATAGCGAGAGAAGGAACACAAGCAGGGGGAGTAGGAGAGAGAGAAGCAGCCTTCCGGCTGAGCAGGGAGCCCGATCGAGGGCTCGATCCAGGACCCTGGGATCATGACTTGAGCTAAAGGCAGACGCTTAATAACTGAGCCACCCAGATGCCCCAGGGTTGTTCTATTTTTAACTTTTGAGGAACCTCCATACTGTTTTTCAGACAGTGGCTGTGCCAGTTTGCATTCCCACTAACAGTGCAAGAGGGTTCCCCCTTTCTCCACATCCTCACCAACACCTGTTTTTCTTGTTTTGTTGATTTTAGCCATTCTCACAGGTGTGAGATGATATCTCATTGTAGTTTTGATTTGTGTTTCCCTGATGTTTAGTGATGTTGAGCATCTTTTCATGCATCTGTTGGCCATCTGTATGTCTTCTTTGGAAAAATGTTTATTCATGTCTTCTTCCCATTTTTAAATTGCATTATTTGTTTTTTAAGTGTTGAGTTTTATAAGTTCTTTATATATTTTGGATATTAACCCTTATCAGATGTCATTTACAAATATCTTCTCCCATTCCATGGGTTGCCTTTTAGTTCTGTTGATTGTTTCCTTCACTGTGAAGAAGCTTTCAATTTGCTGAAAACCCAATAGTTTATTTTTGCTTTTGTTTCCCTTGCTCCAGGAGACATATCTAGAAAGGAGATGGCTGATATTAAAGAGGTTACTACCTATGTTCTCCTCTAGGATTTTTCTGGTTTCTGGACTCACATTTAGGTCTTTCATCCATTTTGAGTTTATTTTTGTGTGTGGTGTAAGGAAGTGGTCCAGTTTTGTTTTGCATGTTGCTGTCTAGTTTTCCCAACACCATTTATTTGAAGATATTGTCTTTCTCCCATTGGATATTCTTTCCTGCTTTGCTGAAGATTAGTTGGCCATATAGTTGTGGGTTCATTTCTGGGTTTTCAATTCTGTTTCATTGGTCTGTATGTCTATTTTTGTGCTGGTACCATATTATCTTGATCACTATAGCTTTGTAATATAACTTGAAGTCCAGAACTGTGATGCCTCCAGCTTCGATTTTCTTTTTTCAAGGTGTTTTTTTTTGGCTATTTGGGGTCTTTTGTGATCCCATATAAGTTTTAGGATTGTTTATTCTAGTTCCGTGAAAATTGCTGGTGGTATTTCGATAGGGATTGCATTAAATGTGTGGATTGCTTTGGGTAGTATAAACATTTTTAACAATATTTGTTCTTCCAATCTATGAGGATGGAATATCTTTCGATTTCTTTGTGTCATCTTCAATTTCTTTCATCAGTGTTTTATAGTTTTTAGAGTACAGGTCTTCCACCTCTTTGGTTAGGTTTATTCCTAGGTATCTTACTGTTTTTGGTGCAATTGTACATGGGATTGATTCCTTAGCTTCTCTTTATGCTACTTCATTATTGATTAACAGAAATGAAACAGATTTCTGTACATTGATTTTGTATCCTGCCACTTTACTGAATTTATCAGTTCTAGCAGTTGTTTTGTGGAGTCTTTCAGGTTTTCTATATGGAATATCATGTCATCTGCAAATAACAAAGTTTGACTTCTTCCTTGACGATTTGCCTGCCTTTTATTTTTTTTGTTGTTGTTGTCTGATTACTGTGGCTAGGAGTCCCAGTACCATATTGAATAAAAGTGGTGGGAAAAGATATCTCTGTCTTGTTCATGACCATAGAGGAAAAGCCCTCAGTTTTTCTCCACTGAGGATGATATTAGCTGTGGGTTTTACACAGATGGCCTTTATTATATTGAGGTATGTTCCCTCTAACTCTTTGTTGAGAATTTTTAACATGAATGGATGTTGTACTTTGACAAATGCTTTTTTTACATCTACTGAAATAATCATATGGTTTTTATCCTTTTTTTAATTAATGTGGTGTATCACACTGATTGATTTCTGAATATTGAACCACCCTTGAAACCCAGGAATAAATTCCACTTGATCGTGGTGAACAATTTTTTTAATGTATTGTTGGATTTGGTTTGCTAGTATTCTATTGAGAATTTTGGCATCCATGTTCATTAGAGATATTGGCCAGTAGTTCTCTGTTTTAGTGAAGTCTTTATCTGGTTTTGATATCGGGGTGATGCTGGCCTAATGGAATGAATTTGGAAGTTTTCCTTCCTTTTCTATTTTTTGGAATAGTTTGAGAAGAATAGGTATTAACTCTTCTTTAGATCTTCCTTAGAATTCCCCTGTGAAGCCAACTGGCCCTGGATTTTTATTCGTTTAGAGGTTTTTGATTACTGATTCAGTATCTCAGCTGGTCATAGGTCTATTCAAGTTTTCCATTTCTTCCTGTTTCAGCTTTGGTAATTTATATGTTTCTAGGAATTTATCTACTTCTAGATTGTCCAATTTGTGGCATATAATTTTTCATAATATTCTCTTGTAACTGTTTATATTTCTGTGGTGTTGGTTGTTTCTTTTCTCTCTGTGATTTTTTAAAACAGATTTTATTTGTTAGAGAGAGAGAGAGAGAGAGCACACAAGCAGGAGGGGAAGAAGGAGAGGGAGAAGAAGACTCCCCACTGACCAGGGAGCCTGATGCAGGGCTCAATCCTAGGACACTGAAATCATGACCTGAGCCAAAGGCAGACACAACCACTTAAGCAACTGAACCACATAGGCACCCCTCTCCTTTGTGATTTTATTTATTTGGGTCCTTTCTCTTTTCTTTTTTGACAAGTTTGGCTAGAGGTTTATTAATATTAATTTTTTCAAAGAACCAGCTCCTGGTTTTATCAATCTGTTTTTTTTTTTTTTTAGAGTTTATATAATTTATTTCTGCTCTTTATTATTTTCCTCATTCTGCTGGCATTAGGCTTCATTTGTTTTTCTTTTTCTAGCTCCTTTAGGTGTAAGGTTAGGTTGAGCTATTTCTTGCTTCTTGAGGTAGGCCTCTATTGCTTTATACTTTCCTCTTAGAATACCTTTTGCCACATCCCAAAAGTTTTCGACCATTGTGTTTTCATATTTTTTCATTTCCTTTTCGGTTTTGTGGTTGACCCATTCATTGTTTAGTAGTATGATGTTTAACCTCCAGGTACCTGTGGTCTTTCCAGATTTTTTCTTCTGGTTGACCTCTAGTTTCATATTGTTGTGCTCAAAAATGTTCATGGTATTATGAGCAACTCTATGCCAGCAAATCAGATAACCTGGAAGAAATGGATGCATTCCTAGAGATGTATCAACTACCAAAACTGAACCAGGAAGAAATACAAAACCTGAACAGACCTATAACCACTAAGGAAATTGAAGCAGTCATCAAAAATCTCCCAACAAATCAAAGCCCAGGGCCAGACGGCTTCCCAGGGGAATTCTAACAAACATTTAAAGAAGAATTAATATCTATTCTTCTGAAACTGTTCCAAAAAATAGAAATGGAAGGAAAACTTCCAAACTC